ACTACGACTACTACTACTACTACTACTGCTACGACGATTACTACTACTACTACTACTACTACTACTACTACTACTACTACGACTACTACTACTACGACTACTACTACGACTACTACTACGACTACTTCCACCACTACTACTACTACTACTACTACTACTACAACTACTACTACTACTACTACTACTACTACTACTACGACTACGACTACTACTACTACTACGACTACTACTACCACTACGACTACGACTACGACTACGACTACGACGACGACGACGACGACGACGACTACTACTACTACTACTACTACTACTACTACCACTACTACTACTGCTGCTACTACCAATACAAATTACACCTGAAAGAACCCAATGAATTGATGACTTGAAAATTGATTCAATGGATCTTGAGATAAGTTGTGAGATCGATAATGACATCGATCGTGGAATCACTAGTGAGAACGATTGTAAGGTCGATCGTGGGACCGATAATCAAATCCATTCAATGGGATCGATAGTGAGATCGATCGCGAGATCGCTTCTGCGATCTCGAGTGAGATCGCTTATGATATTGATAATGAGGTCGATTGTGATATCGATAGTGACATCGATCGATAAATCGGTAATGAGATCGATGGTGAGACCGATCGATAAGAAAATCGACCAAAAACCCGGGAACCCGGAAACCTCGCCGCCCTCCGAAATTGGCCCGGAACCCGGAACCAGGAACCCTTGAACCCAGCGTGCGACCGAAATCGGCGGGGCACTCACTTTCGCCAAATCCTTCAACATCCGCGAGGACCCCTTCAGTGCAAGCACTGATTGGTAAATGTACGTATGTACGAATGTATGTGTTAGAAATATATACCATCTCTGGAAAATACGATTCATCCACAATTCTAAAAAAAGGCTATCGGATCAGCTCCTTCCAGGCGCAGAGGCTGAAACAAAAAGAAAGGACAACGGCAACGTAAGGAACTGTGTGAGAGGCCAGGCACATGTGCACGGCCAGCGCAAGCAATTGAAGAAGGAATCTGAGTTCCAACAGCGGGGCAGAGAGCAAGATAATTGCAACGGCATCAATGGATGCCACAAGCGCATCAGCGCAGCGCGGTGAGCAAGAGAGAAACAGGGAAGAAAGGAAAGGCGGAAGACAGGCCGGAAGAGGAAAAGCACACCGATATCTCACAAAAGAACCCTTTGAACCAGCGAGCGTTGGAAACTCGCTGGCGCAAGAGAAACGAAAAAAAAACCATTTCACCGTGGAAAAAGGGCATCTAGGCCTGGCTGGCCCGAGAGCCCTACCAAAGCTCGAAACTTCCATCCAACCAGGGCGCAATGGCCCGGCGACTGCAAATCGGAGGAGGAGAAGAGGTGAAAGATCGAGGGAGGAGGGGGAGACTGACCAGCACAAATGGATCCGCAACATTTTAGGACACGGGGGCCAGGCCATCACAATCTATAGCGTTCAGCAAGCGTGGCGGGTACAACTTTTCCGCCTGTACAGTTGTACCCGCAAGCGGGCCTCACATCGTAAAGTGCGCCCCGTCTCCGCCGGGACCGCCCTGGGCAGGACGGTTTGGAGCCCCCCTGGGCAGGGCCTTGGGGGCCACATGACACGATTGAGTGAGATGGGTAGTGCAATCGATAGTCAGATCGAAGGTTAAATCGATCATGGGGTCCATGGTGAGATCGGTTGAGTGAGATGCATCGTGAGGTCGATCATGAGATCGGTAGTGAATCGTGGGATTCAGGAAAACAGAAAACTGAAATTGTGGGGAATTCGTGGGATTCATGAATCGTGGGATCGACAGTGAGATCGGTAGTGAGATCAATAGTAAATTCGATCTCGAGATCGATCGTGGGATCGGTTGTGAGATCGATTGTGGGGACGATCTGTCGATATTGAGATCGATAATGAGACCGATACTCAGGTCGATGGAATGAAATCCGTAATGAAATCGACCGTGGGATCGGTAGTGAGATCGATAGTAAATTCGATCGCGAAATCGATCGTGGGATCGATTGTGAGATCGATAGTGGGGCGTGACGATATGTCGATATTGAGGTCGATCGTGAGACCGACACTTAGGTCGTAGGATCGATTGTGAGATCGATCAAGGGGACGATCTGTTGATATTGAGATCGGTAGTGGGACCAGTACTTTGGGTCGACTGAATGAGATCCGTAATGAACTCGACAGTGAAATCGGTAGTGAGATCGATAGTTAACCATCGGCCCGGAACCAATGATCAGGAACCCGGGAACCCGGAACCAGGAACCCGGGAACCCAACGTGCTACCAGAATCAGCGGGGCAATTTCGCCAAATCTTTCAACATTGAATGAGATCCGTAATGAACTCGACAGTGAGATCAGTAGTGAGATCGAGAATTAACCATCGGCCCAGAACCAATGATCAAGATCCTGGGAACCCGGAACCGGGAACCCGGGAACCAATGAGATCCGTAATGAACTCGACAGTGAGATCGGTAGTGAACCATCGGCCCAAAACCAATGACCAAGAACCCGGGACACCGGGAACCCGGAACCGGGAACCCGGGAACCCAGCGTGCCACCAAAATCGGCGAGGCATTCTCGCAAACTCTAGCAACATCCGCGAGGACCCCTTCAGTGCAAACACTGATTGGGGAACATCCGCGAGGACCCCTTCAGCGCAAGCACTGATTGGGGAATGTACGTGTATATGAATGTATGTGTCAGAAATATATATATATATATATATATATATATATATACCATCTCTGGTAAATACGATTCATCCACAACTCCAAGAAAAAAGGCTATCGAATCAGGTCCGTCCAGGCGCAGCGGCTGAAACAAAAAGAAAAGACAACAGCAATGTGAGTAAGGAACTGTGTGAGAGGCCGGGCACATATGCACGGCCAACGCAAGCAATTGAAGAAGGAATATGAGTTCCCGCAGCGGGGCAGAAAGTAAGATAATAGCAACGGCGTTAATGGATGCCACAAGCGCGTCAGCGCAGCGCGGTGAGCAAGAGAGAAACGGGGGGGAAAGGAAAGGCGGGAGACAGGCCGGACGAGGAAAAGCACACCGATATCTCACAATTATCCCTGCAAAGCAACCTAACAGCGATGTGCAGGAGCATATCTGGAAGCATTCCCCTTAAGATTCACATGAGAATCCAGTTGTAGAATTCTGCTGTTCTCGCAGTCGCAGTCGCATTCGCGATGAAAGTCGCAGTGGCAACGGCAGTCGCAGTCACAGCCTCAGCCTCAGCCTGCCTCAGCCTCAGCCTCAGCCTGCCTCAGCCTCAGCCTCAGCCTCAGCCTCAGCCTGCTTCAGCCTCAGCCTCAGTCTGCCTTCAGCCTCGGCCTCAGCCTCAGCCTGCCTCAGCCTCAGCCTGCATCAGCCTCAGCCTCAGCCTCAGCCTGCCTCAGCCTCAGCCTCCTCAGCCAGCCTGCCTCAGCCTCAGCCTCAGCCTGCTTCAGCCTCAGCCTCAGTCTGCCTTCAGCCTCGGCCTCAGCCTCAGCCTGCCTCAGCCTCAGCCTGCATCAGCCTCAGCCTCAGCCTCAGCCTCAGCCTGCCTCAGCCTCAGCCTGCAGCCTCAGCCTCAGCCTCAGCCTGCCTCAGCCTGCCTCAGCCTCAGCCTCAGCCTCAGCCTGCTTCAGCCTCAGCCTCAGTCTGCCTTCAGCCTCGGCCTCAGCCTCAGCCTGCCTCAGCCTCAGCCTGCCTCAGCCTCAGCCTCAGCCTGCCTTCAGCCTCAGCCTCAGCCTCAGCCTCAGCCTCAGCCTGCCTCAGCCTCAGCCTGCATCAGCCTCAGCCTCAGCCTCAGCCTGCCTCAGCATCAGCCTGCCTCAGCCTCAGCCTCAGCCTGCCTCAGCCTCAGCCTCAGCCTGCTTCAGCCTCAGCCTCAGTCTGCCTTCAGCCTCGGCCTCAGCCTCAGCCTGCCTCAGCCTCAGCCTGCATCAGCCTCAGCCTCAGCCTCAGCCTGCCTCAGCATCAGCCTGCCTCAGCCTCAGCCTCAGCCTGCCTCAGCCTCAGCCTCAGCCTGCTTCAGCCTCAGCCTCAGTCTGCCTTCAGCCTCGGCCTCAGCCTCAGCCTGCCTCAGCCTCAGCCTGCCTCAGCCTCAGCCTCAGCCTGCCTCAGCATTCAAAATGTGGCCCGGGAATGGAGTTCTGGGAACTCGAAGAACACGAAGTGGCCTACAGTTGGCTCCGGGCATTCAAAATCATGCCCAGGAATGGAGTTCTGGGAACTCGAAGACCATGAAGTGGCCTACAGTTGGCTCCGGGCATTCAAAATGTGGCCCGGGAATGGAGTTCTGGGAACTCGAAGACACGAAGTGGCCTACAGTTGGCTCCGGGCATTCAAAATGTGGCCCGGGAATGGAGTTCTGGGAACTCGAAGAGCACGAAGTGGCCTACAGTTGGCTCCGGGCATTCAAAATGTGGCCCGGGAATGGAGTTCTGGGAAATCGAAGAGCACGAAGTGGCCTACAGTTGGCTCCGGGCATTCAAAATGTGGCCCGGGAATGGAGTTCTGGGAAGTCGAAGAGCACGAAGTGGCCTACAGTTGGCTCCGGGCATTCAAAATGTGGCCCGGGAATGGAGTTCTGGGAAGTCGAAGAGCACGAAGTGGCCTACAGTTGGCTCCGGGCATTCAGAATGTGGCCCGGGAATGGAGTTCTGGGAGGTCGAAGAGCACGAAGTGTGTGACTGTTTGCGAAAAGCGCATTCGGACACGAGTTCGGACACAGCTCCCCGGATGCCGCCCCGACCCCCCTGTGGAGTCATCTGCTGCTCTCTTTTGACCCCCCTAGAAACCTATCAGCAAAAGCTGTTAAGTAAAAAAAACCCTTTGAACCATCGAGCGTTGGAAACTCGCTGGCGCAAGAGAAACGAAAAACCAATTTCACCGTGGAAAAAGGGCATCTAGGCCTGGCCGGGCGAGAGCCCTGCCAAAGCTCGAAACTTCCATCCAACCAGGGCGCAATAGCGCAATGGCCCGGCGATTGCGAACCGCAGGAGGAGAAGAGGTGAAAGATCGAAGGAGACTGACCAGCACAAAAGGATCCGCAACATTTAGGACCACAGGGGCAGGCCATCACAATCTATAGCGTTCAGCAAGCGTGGCGGGTACAACCTTTCCGCCTGTACAGTTGTACCCGCAAGCGGGCCTCACATCGTAAAGTGCGCCCCGTCTCCGCCGGGACCGCCCTGGGCAGGACGGTTGGGAGCCCCCCTGGGCAGGGCCTTGGGGGCCAGATGACACGATTGAGTGAGATGGGTAGTGAGATCGACAGTCAGATCGAAGGTTAATCGATACTGAGGTCCATGGTGAGATCGGTTGAGTGAGATGCATAGTGAGATCGATCATGAGATCGGTAGTGAATCGTGGGATTGAGGTGAACAAAAAACTGAATAGTAACAGGAATCGTGGGATCGACAATGAGATCGGTAGTAAGATCGATAGCAAATTTGATCGCGAGATCGATCGTGGGATCGATTGTGAGATCGATTGTGGGGACGATCTGTCGATATTGAGATCGATAATGAGACCGATACTCAGGTCGATTGAATGGAATCCGTAATGAAATCGACCGTGAGATCGGTAGTGAGATCGATAGTAAATTCGATCGCGAGATCGATCGTGGGACCGATTGTGAGATCGATAGCGGGGACGATATGTCGATATTGAGGTCGATCGTGAGACCGACACTTAGGTCGTAGGATCGATTGTGAGATCGATCAAGGGGACGATCTGTCGATATTGAGATCGGTAGTGGGACCAGTACTTTAGGTCGACTGAATGAGATCCGTAATGAACTCGACAGTGAGATCGGTAGTGAGATCGATAGTTAACCATCGGCCCGGAACCAATGATCAAGAACCCGGGAACCCGGAACCAGGAACCCGGGAACCCAACGTGCTACCAGAATCGGCGGGGCAATTTCGCCAAATCTTTCAACATTGAATGAGATCCGTAATGAACTCGACAGTGAGATCAGTAGTGAGATCGAGAATTAACCATCGGCCCAGAACCAATGATCAAGAACCCGGGAACCCGGAACCAGGAACACGGGAACCAATGAGATCCGCAATGAACTCGACAATGAGATCGGTAGTGAACCATCGGCCCAAAACCAATGACCAGCAACCCGGGGACCTGGGAACTCGGAACCAGGACCCCAGCGTGCCACCAAAATCGGCGAGGTACTTTCGCCAAATCCTTCTACATCCGCGAGGACCCCTTGAGTGCAAGAACTGCATGGGGAATACTACTACTACTACTACGACTACTACTACTACTACTGCTACTACTACTACTACTACGACTACGACTACGACTACTACTACTACTACTACTACTACCACTACCACTACTACTACTACTACTACTACTACTACTACTACTACTCCTACGTTTATTACTACTACTACAACTACTACTACTACTACTACTACTACTACTACTACTACTACTACTACTGCTACTACTGCTACGACTACTACTACTACTACTACTACTACTACTACTACTACTACTGCTACTGCTACTACGACTACTACTACTACTACTACTACTACTACGACTACGACTACGACTACTACTACGACTACTACTACTACTACTACTACTACTACTACTACGACTACTACGACTATTACTACTACTACTACTACTACTACTACTACTACTACTACTACTACTACTACTAGGATACTACTACTACTACTACTACTACTACTGCTACTACTACTGCTACTACTACTACTACTACTACTACTACTACTACTACTACTACTACTACTACTACTACTACTACTACTACTACTACTACTACTACTACTACTACTACTACTACTACTACTGGTACTACTACTACTACTGCTACTACTGCTACTACTGCTACTACTGCTATTACTACTACGAATCCTAATAGGATGACTTGGCGCACGGATAATGGACTGAGGACACAATAGACGGCAAAGTTAAACAACGCGATCAACATATCTGACAACACTAAACCAACGAAGCCCAGAACGCAAAACAGTAACTCGTAGTTCAGCGTGTTTAGGTTCTTGTTGGGACCCACAAGCGCAAAATAAGTACTTTCCAAGACGCCGGACTAAACAATCTTTCTTTTTTAAAAGACCCACGGCAGAATTAGGACGAACGAAATCGAACATAGCCTTGTCGAGAGGGCGCTGGACTTTCCTCTCTTCCTTCTGCAGAGAACGAGCCGCTCTTGCAACGCGCGCCACAGTATGACGGCGTTTACATGAACATTGAGGGTGTTTTGAAAGCAACATCCGATCGAAAACAACCACAGCAAGGCCTCCACAGACACACCCTGGGCTCACATCAGGGCGAATGGTGGACGTGGCCTCCCCAATCACGGGTGGGCACCTCCCCGTCCTGGTGGTGGGTCTTATCCTTCTCCCACGACCCCCGACGTCATTTGTTGAAAATGTCGACCCCCGAAACTCTCAACCCATTTCCCACGACCGGCTTTGCATCCTGAGCCGATGTTTGACAATCCCGAAGTCCAGGAAAGGCCTTCAGAGGCTGGAAATAGCGAGAAACCCCTCATCGTGATTTTCCCGTGATTCGAAGGGGCCTGGGCCCCCAAATATGCAGACATGCACAACCGGACTCTGGAAGTTGTCGGCGAGCACGGGGTAAGGGAAGGGGGGGGGGCTTATGAGAAGGAGGCTGCTTCCTAGAAGGCGCTGGCCCTACATCTACAGACACGGCCCGCGCCTTCTGAGAAGGAGGGGTGCTTCTAAGAAGCTTTCCCCCCTCCCCCCGCCCCCTTCTGCGCGTGGCTGAGCAGCTCTGGAAGGCCGCGCCAGCACGCCCCGACCGGCGACAGGGCAAGCACCCCTCCGCAACCTCGCCTCCCAGGATTTTTTCCACCGCACGCAGATGACATTTACAAATGTTCGTTCCGAATACAGCCGTCGCACTAAGCGATGCGACCCTAGCGAGGCGGCAGCACGGGCAGGAGCGACGTCGGCCCCGGCCGCGCGCGGGGAAGTAACGCACACGCGCGCGCAAAGAGGAGGATAAGGAGGAGGAGAAGGAGGCCGAGGAGGGAGAGAGGGTAGCACAGCCGCCAACATTTCGTCTGTCCCACACGCCGACTGCTTTAAACTCTGGCCCCATACCAGGAAAAATAAAGCACTGGCCACAGAAGGAGGCGCAGAAGGAGGGAGAAACCGAAAGACGTGCGCGACCCCACTCAGCGCAGCCAGTGGAACAGTGCAATGCCGATCTAAGGGTAGCAAGAGGAGACAGAGAGAGAGAGAGAACGAGAAAGGAAGGGGACAGGGCGCCGGGGAAACGGTATCTAATGGACGCCAGGTCACAGCCGAAGGCTCCACTGGCGGGCCATCCACACTCGGACAGTACCAACAATCCCAATCGGGAGCAAGGAACACTGAAGAAGGGGAGTGGTAGGACGATCGTAGCGCACCGGAGCAGAACGGAGGGGCAGAGGCTTCTGAGTGGGCGGGCGCCCCGAGCTAGGCAAAGAGCCCATCTGCACTGTATACATGAAATCACGCGCGACCGATCGACACAGGAGGAGAAGTAAAAGCAAACGCGGGAGGCGAGGGGCGGGGGGGCGGAGCACCGCACCACTGCCATCGGACGCCACCCCCCCGAGGGGGCTACAAGCCCCAGGAAGGCAGGACCGCCCCCGACAACGACGACGACGACGACGACGACGACGACGACGACGGCGGCAGCGACGACGACGACGCCGACGACGACGACGACGATGACGACGACGGCGGAGGCGGCGGCGGCGACGACGACGACGGGAGAAGAGGGGAAGAGGAAGGAGGGAGGGGGCCGCAACAGCGGAGGGAGGGGGAGACAGGGGAGAGGGGAAGAGGAGGAAAGGAGGAGGCCGCAGCAGCATAAGGAAGGGGGGAGAACGGAGCGGTCCCCTGCCACCCCAGGCGTGGGGCCCCCAGGGGGAGGCGGTGGGGCGGATCAAGCGTGCCACTCACTGACTGGTGCTGGCGTTGTCGCTGGTGTAGGTGCTTGCGTTGGTGCCGGCGTCGGCGCAAGTGTTGATGCTGGTGTCGGTGCTAGCGTCGGCGCTGGCGTAAGCTCCAGCGTGCGCTCCTGGGACACCGGTGAGCCGCGCAGCTCACCGGTGCGCTGGTGTCGGGGCTGGCGTCGGCGCTGGGGTGGGCGCTGGTGTTCGTGCTGGCGTCGGTGCTGGCGTCGTCGCTGGTGTATGCGCTTGCAATGCTGGCGTCGGTGCTGGTGTCGATGCTGGCATCGGCACTAGCATGTTTGCTGGCGTAGCGGTGGTGCTGGCGTCGGTGCCGGCGTCGGTGTTGGACGTCGGAGTGGGGGAGTCGGGGTTGGTGTTGGGCCTGGTACTAGCGACCAGGCTGGAGGGAACACCGGTGAGCTGGGCAGCTCACCGGTGCACCCTTGCTGCTGGCGTCGATGCTGGCGTCGGCGCTGGTGTAGGCGCTGGCGTTGGTGCCGGCGTAGGCGCAGGCCCAAATACTGGCGTCGGTGCTGGTGTTGGTGCTGACGTCAGCGCCATCGATGGTGCTGGCGTCGGTGCTGGTGGAGGCGCTGGCGTCGATGCTGGCGTCGGTACTGGTGTCGGCGCTGATGCAGGCGTAGCGTCACACGACAGGTGGGGCAGAATTCCGTGACGCACCAACTCCGTGACATTTAGACTCTGCGCCGGATCCGCAGGAGCTTCAAGACGCACCGAGCATGTCATGAATTTCGGAGCCAGCATCCGCATCTGCAAGTCAGGACGCAACGAAAATGTCACGAATTTCGGTGACAGAAAAATGTGATGCTGGCGCTGGCGTCGGCGCTGGCGCAGGCGCCGGCGTGCGTTCCTGGGACACCGGTGGCCCAGGTAACTAGCTTACCAGCGCGCTGTCGTCGGTGGTGGCCGCAGCGCTGGTGTAGGCGCTGGTGCTCGTGTTGGCGTCAGTGCTGGCGCCGGCGCTGGTATAGGCGCTTGCGTTGGTACCGGCGTCGGTGCCGGCGTTGCTGCTGGTGTCGATGCTGGCGTCGGCGCCGGCGTAGAAGCAAGCGTGCGCACCTGGGACGCCAGTGAGCCGCGCAGCTCACCAGTGCGCTGGTGTCGGCGCTGGTGTCAGCGCTGGTGTGGGCACTGGCGCACGTGCTGGAGTCGGCGCTGGTGTCGGCGTTGGTGCAGGTGCTT